GGACCTTTCTCAAGGTAAAAGGAGTTGGGTGAGTTTTGAAAATTCTTCTCCTTGACAGCCAAAAACGTTTCGAACCAGAAGGTGTACTTTTGGTGTTCCATGAAACTTTTCGTAATGATAATGAAAAGTAGTTTTACCATCAGCCCCAATTTCTTGTTTCAGAACCTCACCATTGAAGGAGAAACCATTCGCCTCTACCACTTTAAAGTTTTTAATTTTATTATAGAAATAATTGAAAGATCAGTAAATTAATTATGTCAGTTTCTCCGTTAGAGCAAATTTACCCATAATCTTCATAGAAACACCAGCAGGAATATAAGTAACAAATATTTACCCTCGTTGCCATGTTCCTTTCAGCGGGCTTAATTTGTTTCAGTTCCTTGCAAAATTGGAGGAAATATTTGGTGTATGATGGATTTCTTCCAGTTGCCGGTCTGTTGGTTGTTCGAGACCTCTGCAAAAACAGCAGTTCATAGTAGAGACACGGGTCTGAAGGAAACATTGAATTCATGTGTTTTAGGTGAGCAGTAAATCATGGTGTCACTGCGCATATCCGCTTCCCGTTAAATCGCAGCTTTCAGTATTTTATGTCGATGCAGTAGATCTAATTTTCAGTCCTAGGTACTGCTTGTTCGAGTGCTTAGTGTTCTGACAGTGTGATTTTAATATTTTAAGTTATGAGAGACGATTTCGTGGCTCACCTACAGAACATATCAGGCAAAGTCTCCGTCGATGATCTTCATAACGACAAGTCAGGTAAGTGTTTTGTCGTTATCCTTCAACATCAGTACTTTCACGGTATTTCAGAAAGACAAAAGGACTACTTTTCCCAAGTGAACGCAACGATCAACACGATACTTTCCAAACTGCACTCTCTTGATAGGGAGGTCAGTGGTTTGTACAAAGGGTTGTCGCAAAAGTTATGGTGCCGAAACGATATGGCTCTGTGTAAACAGCTGATCCTGTCGCTTTGGACCTGCAAACAGATCGTTAGACAAACTATGGTAAGAGTTGATCCTAACCTGTCTTGGTAAGAGATGAGCGATACCGTATCTACCTGCGAATCACATCCGCATGCCAGACATTTGAGCCTTCTCAAAACTCAAAACTATTGACTTATCTGTCCGAATCTCTTCGACAGTGTCGTGTCTTATTAAACTGCTTTTCCACTTAAATTTTCTCTGAGGATGAGGAAAATGGCTATTTCGGTGAAGGAAAAAATTCCATCTCACGTTTTTTTACAACTCCGTCACAAACAGATCCAGGTACATAGCAGTCATTGGTTGAATAGCGCTTTATAGAGTGGCGTTGAAACAAACGTACAGACGATGTATGTCTGCATTATCTACGAAATTTTACGTTTTTAGCCTTCCAGCGATTCAGGCACCGCGATCCGATGAATCACG